ATATATATTTTAGCAATTCTTTTTTTTGGTGGGCTTGGTTTTGCTGCCTTGGCCATTTTTTAGTCCTGAAAGGAGTTCGACACGGATCTCAAACCAACAGGATATCATCAGCAATGTGCTTGATGACAGCTACAAATATAGCAGCAACCCGAGTAGCTACAATAAAGAGGGCAGTCAGCCTGCAGGAACACTTTTAGATCTAGTGAGCGTTTGAACCGCCATCCAGGATAAGATCAGAAGAAAGAGAGAAAGAAACCATTTTGTTGGACTGTCAGCAAGGTCAAAAACAGCTGAACCAGAAAGGATGAATAGAGAGGTATTGTAGTTTACAGGGAGCTCATGGAACAGTTGTGCAAAATCATTTAAAAGAAGAGTCAAATGGAGCCTCTTTTCCACCTGTGTCTCTGCCAGCACTGGCAAACACTCCCAGACAGCTCTCTGCTCAATAAAGCCATTTTCCAGTAATAAGATGGAAAACAGAAAGATTTAACCATTTTTCTCTTTGCGATGAATAACATTAATATCTTCCTCATCAGCCATCCTCTCAAAACAGAAACACAAGTCAAGAAAATGCAACGTTTTCAATGCAATTATGACAATAAATGGAAAACTAGACTAACATTTGCTAACAATATACAGCGACGGCATGAATATTCATACACTTTGAACATTTTGTGTTGCAGTGTGTGAAGATTAAAAATAAATAAATAAAAATAAAAACTTTATTTCCCAATCTGATTTTTGGATTTAGTTGAAGGTAAAACAACTTGAGAGGAGCACAGACTGTATAAAAATGTTTAATTCATATGAGAAAACCACACAACTGTTTACCTGTGACTCTGAGCTGCTCTATTTTTATATAAGCAAAGAATCTTCTAAATTTAGAATAAATTGAACTTAAACTTCACCAACTTTGTTTATTACATCTTTTATTTTCTACAGATAAAACATTATAGCCGATTTTTATCAACAGTCAGCCTGAAAGTTCCGAAACACTTTTTTTCTTTTTTCTTTTTTACAAAATACATCAACGGAACTTAAAGTGCTGCAGGATTAACATCGAAACAACCACAGTAAAAACACAGTCCAGGTTCATTTCCTTTTTCCAAATTCAGTTTTCATAATTCCATGAAACACATTACTTAATGTTGAATTTTTTTTTTAATTATATCGCTTCTGCAATCGGATTAATCTGGAAATAATATTTAGAACCAGATTTACAGGGGAAGTTATCAGGATGTTGGGTTCTTTGAATTGCTATGTGGTTTTGTTATTTCTGTTTGTTCCTCTTCTTGTTTTTAGATCAGCATGTTTCAGTTTTCATTTAGTTCAGTCTTTTCTTAGTCATTTTAGTTGATTATGTCTACTTCTTGATGCTCTAGTTCAATTGTGTCTCTTAGGTTTAGTTCATCTTTAGAGTTAGATTCATGTCCCATCCCCTGTGACACATTCTCTCCCTCTTTCTCTCTCCCTCTCTCTCTCTCTCTCTCCCTCTCTCTCTCTCTCTCTCTCACTTCTTCCAGTATTTGCTTGCATTCTCCTCGTGTTTCATCCTGCCTGATTTTATCCATACGGCGTTGAGGTTTCCACCAACCACATTATGATTTTAAGCGCATAAAAGCAACACATAAATTTTGTTGATCGTATAAAACATTTCTTGACTAAGTCAGAAACCTCTATATTAACAAAATAAAGCCCAAAAATTAAACTTTATTGAATTTTAAAAGTACCCTGGTATATATAAAAAGATTTTATTTTGAAGCATCTCAACTCTAACTTGAGTAAAATTTCTGGATCGATCCGTTGAATGAAGAACAAACATGTTTCAACCAAACATTCACCAGACATAGACACACAGCTGCAGTTTTTCTTAAAGTTTTGTAAGCGTTTTAAATTGAAAGAAACTGCACTGTAAAAAGAAAATAGTTGAACCGACTTAATTGAATTGCTTCTATGAGTAACAAGCAATTCAATTAAGTTTATTCAACTTAATTTATTAAGTTTAACCAATGCAATATATTATCATCCAACTCAATTTGCTAATTTTTTTTAACAAATTTATTAAGTATGTTTAAGATAACAGATTTAAGTCAGTCTTACTCAAATCATTTAGTTTACTTTAAAAAAATGGTAAATGGACTGAACTATAGCGCTTTTCTAGTCAAAGCACTTCACACTAGAGTCACATTCACCCATTCATACACCGATCGGTTAAGTGCCCACATCGACAGGGAGGAGGAAACTGGAATCAAACCTACAACCTTCTGATCACAAGACCACAACTCTACCACAGAGCCACGGTCGCTTACCAGGGAATCTGTCCCTGGTTAACTTGAGTCATGGTGTCAGACGTGGGATACAAATATGGTATTGAACTTAATTATTTCAAGTAAAGTCAAAGTAAAAAGATCCTTTAAGGAAAAGATTTGTAACTTTTAAGTTAGAGTGTATTTAGAGGACACTGTAAAAAGAGTGCAAACTAAGAAAGTTTACAAATATTTTTCCAACCCAAAATATTTAGGTTGGAACTATTTAAAAGTTTGGGTTGACTTCCTGTAGAATTAAGTCAAAGAGACTTTAAATGTTTATTAGAACAAAATAAATGATTTGAGTAAGAGTGACTTAAATTTGTCATGTTAAACCCCCTTATGAATTAAATTATAAAAACTTAGCAAATTGAGATGGAAGGACTTAGTGAATTGAGTTGGATGATCATAATAAATTGAGTTGGTCAGACATAAACTGGCATTGAACTCAAATGTTTTAAGTAAAGTCAAAGTGAAAAGTTCCTTTAGGTTAAAGATTTGTAAGTTTTGAGTTAAATGAACACAAAAAAGTAAGTTGTCATAGCAAAAGCAAAAGAATTAAGTGAAAATTTTATATTTATATTTATTAATTTTTTTTTCCTCACTTATATGAATTATTGCAATTTTGGTCCTTAAAATGCCAAAATTTCCACTTAACTTTATATTTTGGTCCGTCTGATGATGTCATTTTAAAATATTGATTGATAATTTGATCAGTTACTCAGTTGCTGGAGTAGAATTTTTTTTTTTTTTTTTTTACCAAATACTTCTTTACTCTTACTTGAGTAATTTCTTGGATGGCCACTTTTTACTTTTACTTAAGTAAAAAGATGTCAAAGTATCACTATTCTCTACTCTAATTACTCCAATTGGAGCACCCCTATTTAAATGCTGCTAAAATGACTAGAGGTGAATTTCCTTCCTTTTCTCAACTTCAGATAAATGAACATTTAATGTATCGTGTTTCTTTTCTTCTTCTTATCAGACTCGTTGTGTTTTTCCAGTGGGAAACTCTCTGCCTCTCCGCATGCAGCGGGGCCTTCAGCTCCGTCATTTGTTTGCTATTTGCGATGGAGCATTCCCCCCCAGCCCCCTTCGGAAAGTCCAGGATGACATCATGCTTGGAGGCAGTGGCGCAACTATTATTCAGGTGGATGCGAAAACATAAGTCGGCGCCCCCCCATCTCCCCCTCTCACCCGGAGGAAGGTTGAAGGAGCGTGGAAAACATACGCTCGCTCCCCCCGCCACCCCCGAGACGAAGTTACGTGAAGTGTAAAACTCCCTACATTTACCACGTCACATGCGCGAGGTGAAGGAGCGTAAGGCGCACTGAAGTGTATGGGAAAACATAATCGGCGCGCCACCCCCTCCAGACGGGGTTTTGACGCCCCCTCTGGTGCTGCGCCCCTATGCGTTGCATGCGCTGCATACCCCCTTTTTGCGCCACTGCTTGGAGGAGGATACGTTTCGCATCGAAAGTGAAAATAAAGATGTGATTTACTAAAGGAGAAAGTGTAGGCGTGTCAGTGAGGCGGAGCAGACTGCGGACTGCGGACTGCGGGCTGCAGCACAGCAGGCTCCCCTGGATTCTGAATGTTTTCTATGAAACGTGACTGATCGGAAAGTCTGGAAGCAGAGAAACTTTACGACATCGATCCGCTTCTTTATCTGTGGTAAGTGATGGTTATGTTCTGGAGAGATTCTGAAAATTTTCTGTATGCGCGTGTTTGTAGGATTGGATACATAATAACAATAATAATAGTTTGGAAAAACAAGAAGATGCCTGCATCTAGCAAATGCGAGTTAGACTGAACATTTGTTTTGCATGAAACTACAGAAACGTACTTCTGCTCTGTAAGCAGCCCACACACGGTGTGACTTTGGACGTTTCGCTCTGCAGGGAGCAGCGGGGAAATGAGCAGCTAGTGGAAGCGATTAATGAGACATGTGTTTGTAAACTTCTGTTAAACATGTTGATCGATTCCATGTTTCATTTTTTTTTCCTGCTGCAGAAAACGGGATCATGATCTTTTGGTGGCAGTGGTTATTATTATGTTTCTAAAAATGGAAATACTTGTTCATGATTCAGCTATTTTGTTTTCTCTTTACAAATACTTCGTGGTATTTCTTTTGGGGGGTTGGAGAGGAAGGCGCTTTGACGCAGTTTTTAGTTAGTGGAACAGAAAAAAAATATTTTATATTTTAAAAAAATCTAAAATGTAATTAAATAGAAGGTTTGTGTTTATCTGTGGTGCTGATCTCAGGTTTAAATCCTGATTTCTTTCTTCTTCTTTTTATATCAAAATGAGCCGATAGAGTGAAAGAAACGGGTATTTTTACATAAAGGCCTGGAGGCTTCATTAACATTAGAGGATGGGGAGGTGGGCAGAGGACACCAGAAATTAAAAGTAAAAGTAACAGTACAAAAGATGTAATCAAGTAAAAGTAAAAGTATTCTATAAAAAAAGGCGACTCAGCTACTCAGACAGTAACAGATCGTCAGATGGAGAAAATTTAAATTTTATTTTCAAACTCTGGTGTTTTAAAGAAGAAAACATTTTAAAAAATCCTTACAAATAATTAAAAGATAAAATCAGGCAGAAAAAAAACTTTTCCAATCAATTTTTTGCGCTAAAAGTTAAGAAACTGACAGAGCAGGTCATGTATGTTAGAACAGGGCAAACCACTTCAGGTGACAATCTTTGTTTCAGCAGGTAGAAAACGTCCGAACAACAAAGCTGGTGTACAAACAGGAAGTCTCACTTCGACACAAACTGTGTCTGGTGCTTTTATGATTAACGCAGACTTACTCTGCATTTATTGAAGTTGCTCACATTGGGCAGAGCATTCAGACTTTCAACTCAATTAAGAGTATTGGTACTTCATATTAATGTGACTCAAGTGACAGTAAAACATAAAATGTAGTAAATCTATTCCTAAAAGTAATGTGGGTTTGAGGTGTCAAATTACATGTTGAGAATATGTACATACAGTAAAGTCCTGGGCATTTTATGAGACCAATAATAAATAAAACTATAACCAACAATGGGTCACATAAAAAAAAATTAACAGCAAAGCAGTGATTATTAAAATATTCAGTAAGCCAGTGGAGGGTGTAACCCTCCCTTCTTGCCTCATGACTGCTTATCCTTCATGGGTTTAGATAATGGATGGATGGATGTACAAATAAACAGAAAAATTAATGAAAAACATAGAGCACCAAATTCCTCATCTCCTGCCGAGCCATAGGTGGCACAATTGCTTAACTTACACATTGACTTGTCCTTGATCTTCCCATTAGCTCCTGCTGCTCTGCAACTGTTTGATGAATCTATTTTACAATCTGCTTTCAAATCTCCAGTAAATACTTACACTCCTGCTGTTTTGCTGCTGCAGCCGGTGTTTGTGTTTGACGGTCAGTTTTTAAGCTGTGCACTGACGATCCGCTTAGACTGCCTGAGTCATCAGCATTAGATATGAGACCTGGGCATGACTCCAGGTTGGTGATGACATTTCAAAGCTGATTCCAAAGACATAAGATTTTTATTTGTCATTATGTTCCCAGAATATGATGAAATTGGAGTGGCACCCTCAGTGATGAATAAATAAATAAAGTCTCAATCAATCCTCAGGGTGCAGTATAAGGGTGTGGTGTGTCTGCAGGGGGGGCAGAGAGGATGGAAGGTGGACAGAATGATTCTATAGTTTCCTGAGGAAGAAGAGTCTTTGTTGGGTCTTCCTCAGAAAAGTGGTTTTCAGTGGTCAGGTCAGTTTGTTGATGTCAATTTCCTGAGCAAATGAATTGTTGATGGTGTTTACTGTGATGCCGTGTTTGGCGCCGATGTAGGCAGAAAACAGTGGAGGAGTCCATTTAAGGCCAAAAAAAACAAAAAAAATCAGAAATTTGAATGGGGGGAAAAATCTTTGAAATTTAGGAGTTGGTAGAGTTGAAAACTTGCTTGAAAAAAACTCAGAAATTTTAAGATTAAATTCAGAACATTTTTTTAGAGAAAAAACTCTAAAGACTTTTTACTTTAAAACTCTGGAATTTCCAAGTGTTTTTTTCTAGAAACTTTGAAATCAAATCTCAACATTTCTGAGTTTTTACTTCTCTTTCTTTTCTATCTACAACGGCCCTAATACTCACTCATAGCTTCTTAATTTCCCCCTTGTATGTTCGGTTTCTTGTTTGAGTTTACGTCTCTTAGTTTATTGCCAACCCTTCCCTCCTGTGTGATCTTTAACTCCTGGTTCATTTCCCGTTGGGTTGATTAGTCTCTCCCCTCAGTTTCCCCACTTTCACTTTGTGACAGCTGTTCCACATTTCCTCTTGTTTGCTTCCTTTGTCATTTTCAACTCCTGCTTCAGTTTACAAGCTGCTGGTTTTTGCTGTTCAATGCAGGATTCTTCCCTTCCTGCTTTTTACCACCTTGAGACAAGTCTTATAAGTTTTCCCTCTTTTTTTTTTAACTTAAAGCTTGTGCATAAGAACACATTCCTCATGCTCATGTAAAAGTGCTGAAGTTTCCCAATTCTGCTGTGAACTGGACCTTGGGTTGTGAATACTAATGTGACAAAAACAAAAGGCTTGGAATGTTGGCGTAACGATGAGTCAGGGGCAAATTGTTGGATTTGTTTGCTGATGGTGAGACTGGAGATATAGTTGGTTGGCCTGAATTTGTCTCTTGACAGTTGATACCAGTTTCCTGAAAAGGTTTATACAATATTTTAAGTCTACAAGCTTTTCTGTTGTCTTTGCAAATCTTTTTTTTTTTTTTGCATTAATTTATACAGGAAATAGATGTAATTTAGCACAGAAGATGTTCTGAGTCTGAAGTCCAATATGTGACTAGCAGAACAGATAAAAATAAAATATTGCGGGTGGATGATATCCATGATGCAGAAACACTGATTTATGCTACTTATTTTGATTTTACTGTAAAAATACTTAATGATTTTTGATAACAGTGATGAATTTAAGCATGGTGGTAATTATGTTAGAAACATTTAATCTCAATTTAGAGATTAAATGTTTCTGACATAATTAAATTGATGTAATAATCAATTTACCATTAACAATAAGGCAAAAAAAAAAACCCCAAAACATATACGGTACAACATGGGATGTATTAAAATTCAAAATTACTTTAATGATCCCAAAGTGAAATTAAAACTCCAGTGGTATCTGTGGCTGCGATTCAATTACAAATGTTGAAAAAACGCAATTTTGCAATAAATCATTAAAAATCACAGCACGTAAAACGTTACTTGATATATTCAGCCATGGCGCTAGCACTCATCATCTATCAGCCAACCAGAGGAGATGTTGGCGTCTCATCTCAGCGTTGGAGCGACAAGCCCAGCCTACTTGGGAAATTGTTCTCGGTGATTTTATGTATGACTTGTGGATTCGACGCGTTGAAATGACGTGTTGAATCCACACAAATCTTTATGAAGTGTTTGATGCTGTGAGCGTTGCACATTGTCTGAAAAACACACACAATCCATCATCCTCCGACCACTTCCTGTTGTCTTCTTTGTCGTTTCTGCCTGTAGCAACATCCGTCTGTTGATCACCATTGCAGTTCAGCAAAATACATCTATTATATTTGAAAAATCACATTATCCTAGTTTTTTTTTTTTTTTTTTTTTTTTTAAATTGGCGTGTTTCCATTTAGCAAATTTGTTTAATTCAGTTGCGTTCAGTCAAATAATAATAAAAATCAGTTTGGCCCCATTAGCCGTCATGAGGTCACTGGTGTCCATTGGATAACACATAAGCATTTCCCGGGTGGCAGTTAAGGGTTTAATAAAATGGAAGATGAAAACCCCATATTACTGGTATAAAGTTAGACGGTAATGGCAACAGTTTACATCTAATCTTCACTTTGTGAAGCCCTTGCATGCGGATAAGGGGACAGGGCATTGACTGAGCCGGGCTCAGGAAGCAGGAGAGGAAAGCAGTCGGAGACAAAGTGTCACGTTAGGCCTCATATGAGACAAGCTGGACTTCAGGACCAGCTCACATGTTCAGACCAGGATTCAGAAACACAGAGAGGAGTTTTCTGTTTTTTCTGCTTTAATCCAGCAGCCAGCTATAAGCTCACGACAATGGGACTTGCTGTGCTTTATGGGAAGTCCAAGGGAAATGACATGCAGATATGTTGATATAGAAACTCATAAACAATGAGGGGAGCGGGAGTGAGATAATAAAGTGGAATTTCCACGTTACTGAATGCTGAACTGGATAATTAGGTCACTGGGACTGACAGAAGAACTCATCACAGATTAATTTTGTGCAAACTCAGATAGTGTGAGGATTTGGTTTTCTGTGTGTTAATTGGTTCTGATGGGTATTTTTTCCTTTCAAACCTTCATTAAAAGAACCACAGACAATGCATATGAATTTTATGACCAAGCTTTTGCAAAAGGAGAAGTCTCAGAAAACTGCTCCTCCGAGCTGTTCACTGAGCGTTCTAAAGACCTTTGGTTATAGCTTGTCTTTTATTATCAAGCAAAAAGAGGGGGGATAGGTAAGGAAGACAACAGAGACAAAATACTACTGCACACAGACAGTTTCTAAGGTAGGGAGTATTCTGGTTGATAAGGAGGCAGCTGTGGAAACATAATTTAAGGTCTGGGAAACACACAGTTAACTGTTTCACATGAAGACGAACAGGCAGATGTGACCTCCAGGTCAGTTTATACACACATAAGGAAGAGAACACTTTAAACTGAAAATCACAATAATACTGAACATTAGACTGAATATGAACTAAAGTAATAACAAAATGATAATACCAAAAAATCTCTAACAGGTTCCTGTGTTGTCTCATCTACCCCTTGATAGTTTATAGCTGTCCTTTGTTTTCCATGATTATCTCCCTGTTGACTGTGACTGTATCTCCCTGTTGACTGTGACTGTGTTTCCCTGTTGACTGTGACTGTGTTTCCCTGTCGTCCTAGTCTAAAGTCGTAAGTCGTCTACTCTGCCCTTGTTCAATCGAGTTAGTCCACTAGTTGCTGCCAGTGTCTGAGCTCTTTGCCTTATTGTTGGGTTGTTTTTGGTTTTCTTTGGACAGCCTCGGTCCATCCTCACCACTCTACACCACATTTCATGATAGATGGTAAAAACTCAACTGCTCTGGTTAGCTGGCGGTTACAGCTACAAATCGGCAAATATTTACTCTAAATCAGGTAATTTGATTCATATTTATGTAATCCACATATTAGGAATAATACCTGCACTATTTTCACTGGATGGATACAGTTACATAGAAGTACAGAAACAGTTTTCACATGTATTGAGGTCTGTGGTAGGAATTTCCTCCTTGGTAGCTGACACCCCCTCCCCACACACTGACAGTCTTGTATAAGAAAATAAATCTCATGTGACATGCCGTACAAATCTACTGACACTTCTTTGGACTTAACTTTTTTGTCAAAATGCTTCAGTGTATTAAGTTTTACAGACAAACGATTGTTGAGGCAGAAGGACAGAAACCTGATGGTGATCAGATTCTTTTCTAAATAAAAATATGAAAACGTGATACATTTTAGTCCATGAGCCAGACCAATTTTTTTGGATGCATGTCTCTAGTTAATATTTTGGTCTGATAGCCTTTCCAAAAGCTTTTAGCTCATGAAGTAAGCTACCCCTTTGGATAAATTCTGTTTTTTGAGACTGGGGTATGTCTGGTTTAGGTTCATGGTATAGATATTTGTCACATGGTTTAATACAATGTTTGGTGCCATCTTAAAGAGAACATTCTTGGCTTTCATTTAAGTCATGTCTTGAGTTTCTCTGACCAACACAGAAGTCACTGGAGCTCTTCAAGGCAAAAGTCATACGTGTTTTTTTCGCTATTTTTCCGAAACTCAATACCTTTCTTTTAGCTTTATTGTATAAAGGGACACAACAGTGAACGACTGCAATACTCAACAGTTTGCCACAGTTCCCGCACACACAAGGGTTAATCCAAACCACAGATTGGCCACTGAGGCAGGTCAAAGGTTAACATAGCTACAGCCAGGTATGCTTGATTTTACTGTTTTGTAATTATGAATTATTTTCTATACTTTTCTTAAAATTCCAGAATTTCCCCACAACTTTATATTTGGATGAGTTTGATGATGCAGTTTTTAAATATGGAACGGTTTTTGTTTTGATGTTTACTCAGTAAAGGGTCGCCGTTTTACCAAATATTTTTATTTTTTTTTTTTGCTTTTACTTGAGTAAAAATATGTGTGTATGTGTGTGTTGTATTGGTGTGGTAATTTGGTCCTTCCATCCACCTTTTCTCCTTCTGAAAATAATCCTCGTCTTGAACGTTGAATGTACTGGGCGACGCCATTTCCATTTCTGCAGACGAATCCCTTGTGCCGTGAAGTGGAGTTCTGTGGTGGTGAGGACAGTTGAGTGCAAAATGATGGCTTTAATGACGAATACAGAAATCCAGGCAGCACAGGTCAGCACATACTTTTTGGTAAGGTGGTCCATGCAAACGTAACTCTGTATAAACATCTCAGGGTTCTCGAACAAATTAAATTTGACAGGAATGTTATGTTTGGAAGCCAGGACGAGGTAGAAGCATGACAAGACAAAGAACTCTTCTTAACAGTGTTTATTCTTAACTTGCTCAGCAGTACAGCAACGTCAGGTATTTCTTTCCTCCATCTTAGCTCTTCTTCTCTCTACAATCAGTACTATCCTCGCACACCACTTAGTGGTAGACACAACAAGTAACCTACTCAGAAATCGTTGGCAGGGAAGCGTGTTTAGCATTTATACAAGCATTGCATCAGTGTTTCTGTCAACGACACCATCTGTTTCCAACTGAGAGCTGTAATTCTTGTGGCTTCACTGCAGAAATCACAGATCAATCTGAGTATTGTTTTATCGAATAGATTTGTGGTGCACATTAGTGAGCAGTGGTCTTTGTCACTAGGAGACAGATGTGTCAGGCAAGTCGGCTAACTGTGTATGTATGAAGCCAGACTTTGGTTCTGACCAATAAGGTCATATAAGGACCAATAAGCTTTATTACAAGCCTTTTCTTGTAATGCTGACATATGCAGGTCGGTAAGATCTGCATGATCAGCAAGTAAGTCTTGTCTTTGGGTGTTAGAGTGACTGACTTCTGTTTTCTGCTGCACGCACGGCTCAGACGCTTCCTCTGCTGCTCTGCTGTTTTGTTTCTAGAAACCACAGGTTGTGTAAGAAACTGATCTGGGTTTTGTTCTCCTTGAGTAAATCTTTGTCCAGAACATTTCCTTGTTAGATCGCATGATGAGAAATCAGAGCTTTCCAGGTCATGCGTCCTAAGGTCTCGAAAGCCATTTCCGTCCCCCCGGCCTTTAAAAGCTGAAGAATGTAACTTTTACAAAAATAATGTTTTTTTTTCTATAATTGTTAATACCATGGAAAACCTGTAGTGACAGTACAATAAGAGACAGATTATCTGTGAAAGAAAAACAAGCCGGGGGTTTTAGCGCTGTCAATCATCTTCGTGTATGTGTTGCTAAATGTGTTGATGGCAGAGAAAAAGCTTAATGCTCCAGAAAAAAAAAGTTTATCTGCCGTCATCAACATACATGCTAAGTAGTCTTAGCATTCCTGACAGGCTATGTTAATAATTTAAACAGATATGTAAGAAAAATACCTTTAAGTACCATGGCTTTCCGTTCAGATTGGGATAACGTGTTTCCCGTTCAGTGTCTTCCTAAAAATATAAACTACTTAAATCATGGAAAATAACTGATTGAAATTACGGTGTTGATTTGTGTTTTTTCTGTTTGAAACTTACATTTAAATTGGTTTAAAGAAATGAACTGCATTTAAGAGTACAATAGAAACAGCCTTTTGTTGTGTCAGAGCGGACATTCAGGAGCAACAGCATCATCAGGATGTGGAGGTTCACAAAAAAGTTCCAAAAGTGTTGAAAATGTATTTAAAAAAATAGACAAACTATAATAATGGTAATATACTGTGCAAGATTAGAATGTAATTAAAAAGAAATGTCTATAATGTGCATGTGAACATTAAGACATTTACAGTGAAGCATATCAGAAAAACCGACATGCAATAACAGCAGAAATGTTCTCCGAAATGAGTGAAAACAGAGGAAATCACTGCAAACACCGTTAATGTAAGTAAACACTTACTAATCATGTTGGGAGCAGTGATAATGGTAGGGTTTTTTTGTTCAGTCTAACAGACAGAAACAATGTTATCTGGTGAAATCAATCTTCAATAGCATGTCCACTATTACTGTGGTACTTTGACCTCTACCCTCTACTGCCAAAACACATTCACCTCAGCGTTCTCATGTTCCGATCTTAATCTACAGACAGGAGGCAGCTCCACCCACAGCTCCACCCTCTGCACTGGTATGTTGACGTGTTGGGATGTTACAGTGTGTGGTCCCTAAATTCACAAAGTCAAAATGAAATCAGGCAAATTTTCTGAAATGCTGTTTCTGCACAGCAGGAGCCTCCTCTGTGGTGAACTTCAGACTGGGCACAGCCATGCCAGGAACATTCCTCTTTCCTACTGACTACCAAACCGGACACGGACACGTACACACACTTCATCTCTTGGGAGTCGGTGTTTCCATTCCATGTACAGTGACATCAATGAGGACCAGCTGCTCAGTCAAAGTAAACCATTATATTAAACTCTGTACACCCATTATTATTGTCTAAACCGTCTGCAATTCCACACGAAGTCACAGTGTGGGAAGTGAAATACCTCTGCTCAGTCAAGAGCTCAGTCAAGAGCGGTGGATTTGTAGATGGAGCCTACAAATCCACTGTAGCTCATCTGTGATTTTATGGATTCTTGTAGTTTTTGGATTTCACTCTGTTTGCCTATTTGCCACACTTAATCATTTCAGATCATCAAACAAACATTAGTATCAGACCAAAAAAAAAAAGCACTTTTAGCGGATGAAAAGCTTTTTGAAGCAAAAGCCCAAACTACCGTGGAGCTCCAGAGGAGGTTAACAGGAGAGGGACCGACTGGACGAGCTTTTACTTTAAAATAAATACATAAACAAATCCATCCATCCATTTTCTAACACTCTTGTCCCTTAGTGAGGTCAGGAGGTGCTGGTGCCTATCTCCAGCTAATATTCCGGGCAAGAGGCGGGGTCATCCTGGACAGGTCGCCGTTTTGTCGCAGGGCAACACAGAGACACACAGGACAAACAACTATGCACACACACACACACACACACCCACACACACACACACACACACACACACATTAAGCACAAGATATTCCATTCATATCTTGGAGAATATTATGATGTGAACAAACTGCAGTGTGTTTCTGGCAGTATGTTAAAGGGATTTTTTTTCTAACTTTTCCCTTTTTTTCATTTACTTACTATTTTGGGAAACATTTCTGCAGATGGAACGCCTGCAGACTTAAATACAACCATGAGGACACAGGACGGCTCCACTAACCTGAGTTACAGAGTTTGGTAACACTTTATTTGAAGGGGGGTGAATAAGACTGACATGACACTGTCATAAACATGACATAACACCTGTCATGAACATCAATAAGCCTTCATGAATATTTATGACTGTTGTCATAAAGCGTCATTCGGTAAATCATGATACTTTTAATACAAAGTTGACATTATTTAAAATGTCTTTGTTATGACAACTTGACATTAACCAAGAAATCATTACTGATATAAATTTGTTATAAAAGTATTACTGATTGCACTTTAAAAATTAGGTAACTTTATGTTATTAAAGGTAAAGTTTAAACAGTAATGATTTATTGGTTATGACACTTTCATGTTTATGAAAGTGTCATGTCAGTCTTATTCACCCCCCTTCAAATAAGTGTTACCCAGAGTTTTTGGTGGATTTTTTTGCCTTCTCTTGTAAGGGAACAAAAAATGTGTTTGCTAAAAATATATTTTGGGAAAAGAAAGAATAGTAAAAGTTTAATTACCCTACTTGAATTACTTTTTTCTGTCATGAGCGGTGTAGTTGATGGTGGTGAGGAGAGACGCAGCGAACCCAGGTTATGGTGAAAATAATGAATTTAATGATGAAGCTCTCAGTCCAAAAACAGGCAGCACGGCAGAAAGACAGGCACACAGCCAAATACCGGTAGCAACTGATACACAGGACAAAAACGAGAGCTAACGCTATCCAGGACTTTACAGTTCTACTGGAGCGGAAACAAGACGTGACTTAGACACAACGAACTTAGACACAGATTAACGACAAGGACCCGACGAAGAACACAGACACAGGTGGGCTTAAATACACATGGTGGGTAATCAGGCAAGTAGACACCCCTGGGAGACAATCAACGGGGAGGACAGGACAGAGACTCACAGGGAAACAGGAACACATTTAAAAACTCAAAAACACACAGAAAACCACGGATCATGACATTTTCCCCCCCAAACATTTAATTGAGTCTGTGGAAGCTTTTACTGAAGGACACAATCTACAGTTTTTAAGCTATTTATTTAACAGACTTCATCTGTTTTTGAGTAGGTGAGCTTGTAAACTTATAATTCATATTTTCAAAATAAATTTGCTTAATGGAAACGCGGTAATTTTGAAATGAATCCATTAAAAAGTTTTGACACAAGGATGAGATGGGTTTTTTTCACATTAGTATAGATACCCAGAAGGCTGCCTCCACGTGAAGCAATAACCATGGCAACAGGAACTTGCTTGTATCAATACAAGTATTTATAATAGTTATTATACATTTTATTTAAAAGGTGTTTTCAGGGCACACAAGGTCACCTCACAAAAAAAGCAAATAAAATCCAAATAGAAGATAAAATAAAGAGATCCAAACGTGTGAACAGCAGAGCGTTCAGCTGGGGTTTAAAGACAGACAGCGTGTCGGAGTCTTTTACAGTGAGTGGCGAATGTGGACGTTTATTCGAATCATGTGTATAAGTTGCACATTTCCAGAATAGAGATGTTTTGTATTTCACTCATAAATCTGGCATGGCTCGACTGAAGGATGACTGTCTGACCAGTCAGCAGCTCCAGCTGAAGTGGGACCGGTACCACACGGCTCCTACTTCAAGTCCTGCGCAGAAATCCAGGATGATCAGTCTGGGTTAATCTAAACTCTAATAAACCATCATCAACATTCCCAGCACATCAATATGATCTCTGATCACAAGTTCCTGCTGAATCCTTCCATTGGCCATGTTCTCCATCAGAGCCAAAGCGCTCCACAATAAAATGGCTCACCTTTGCACAGCTACTTAAATGTGTGTGATTGTACACACACTTTGATCACCTTAAGAATAATCAAACCTGTTTGGAGTTAACCTGCTGATCCAACCCTGATTTCTTTTTCACAGAGAATGAAAGTGTCCCACAGAGAACGTGCATTC